TGGGAACACATTTGTCCTCACAATATTTTATTATGTCTTTTAGTTTCAGCCATACAATACTCACTGTAGGTGATTTTCTATGAAAAATCATTTTAGTTCTACTTCAAGGTAGTTAATATTGCTAACATCATTAGCTTTATTGTAGTTTTTAGCAACAATGCACGTTTTTGAAAATGGTAGGCTGTTACCAATAGTGGCTGCTAGCAGAATAAGTTTGTGGTCAGATATGACATCTTCTAGCTTGACGTCAGCTGTTAGATAGTTAGAAACAGAGAGAGATGGTATGAAGAAAATCAGAGAGGTTAACCAGAAAGCAAGTCTGTGGTTTGCTACCCTGCACTGGGGAAGGGTAAATTGGAGACAGGAACAAAGGCAAGATCTAGTATTGAGAATGTGTGCCCCTGAATGAGACAAGCTGGGATAACGAAAAACTAAATTCTACGTTCAAAAACAGCTCAGAATTAAAACATCTCTGCTACCGACTGTCAACGCATTCCAATCACTAGTAGGTAAATTAAAATCACCGGTAAGAATAAGATTAGTTCACTCATTAACCTTGTCGTGGAAAAAAATCGTGAATTCTCGTGATGTATTCGTCAGACGCATTTGGCTTCCTATATATACCACCTATAAGCACGGGTGACTCATGAGCGTATATAGTGCACCATAAACTTTGATGATCTGGAATGCCTTGCTGTTTGCGAAAAGATAGGCTCTTGGGTACTGCCATTGCGACACCGCCCCTGCGGCTATCGCGGTCGGCACGCAGAAGAGAATAAGAGAGGGGAACTATCTCTGAGTAATGAATATCGCCATGTAGCCACGTTTCGGTTATTACTGCCATGCCAGGAGAGTGAACAAGCAAAATTTCTTCAAGTTTTGCAGCTTCATTCACAATGCTCCTTGCAATAAAGCTTATTAGGGAAAGTGAATGCATAACCCGTACTCGTCATGCGTTGTGGGCACTGGACTTCTCGGTGTCGTCATGACACGCGGCGTCCAAAGATAGTCTGAATTCGGGTTCATCACTCCATTCGTACAGTTGGTCGTTCCCTTTATGTTTATCATAAACAAGAGTTACTTTATTGCCCCCGTCGCGCTCTCCTTTTGGAGGAGTGCCAAAGTTTACTCCGTACCTCTTCTGAAGTCTTCGGATACAGATACCTAACTATTTTTAAGCTTTTTGCAGTAATGCAGAATGGTGCTCTTTTCTATGAAGTTGTAAAACCTTATAATCACAGGCCTTGTGCTGTTTGCCCTTTTCTTTCCAACACGATGTACATGCTCTAGCGATCTTGCTTCCACTCCGACTGTGTCTTTGAACACACCTGGTATCTGCTATTTTCATCCTCCCTTTCTTCCAAACCATAAATGAGAAGGTTATTCCTGTAGCTTCTGTACTCCATGTCGTCTAGTTTTTTGCTCAGATTCCTGATGTACTTTCTCATTTTGGCGTCATTCTGTTCACACAGCTCTACTTCTTATGATACTATTTTAGTGACGCTAGTGTACCTTCTATCTCTTCCATCCTGGCTTGAACGCCTCTCAATCCTTCTTCTAATGCTCGTTGCGAGCTCTTTATTTTTGTAACCCCTTTTAGGATCTTGTCGAGCATGTGAGGGCCTGAATTTTCCTCGATATCACCGCTGAGCAACAAGAGTGCGCGAAAAATTCTAAAGGATTCACAAATTCAACACAAAATACACTCAAGGCTCGGCAGCACTACAAAGCAAAGAACGTCACTTTTGTGACACTTAGACAAAATGCAGTGTTTTCTAACCTGTACAAAAAAAACACAGTGGTTTTTTACGCCGTTCCTTACGGTACTACCAAGCCCACTGAACGGAGCACGTGATGGATGCGGCCTTATGTACGTCTCGCTTGATGTCACTTCTGTTGCTGGTTGGCCGAAGGGACGGTGCGGTGTGATAGTCCTAGGAGCTGGATTCATGGGCAGGTAGATTTCTGCCGCCAGCTGAGATAACAGCACAACGGTTCGCTGTTCGTGATGATGCAGGACTGCCATTGTTCCAGAGTAATGGTGCTGAAATCTTAAAATCCAGTCGTATCCAGGCTTCTTAGTCGGGTCCAGACTTCTCAGTCTGGTCTCTCGTCTTTCGCGCAGTTTCTTTTTCACTATGTCGTACCAACACGACCATGCAAACATTTATGCGGTATGAATTATTTATAACATTGCTGCCAATTAAAACGTGCCGTACCTGACATCCATGTGGTTCAGTCAAATAGCTCTGCATACGAAGCTATCGTCCTTATTATTCCTATTTTATACTTCCATTATAAAATGTCTCTTACTATAGTGGTAGAATTTGTTAGCGTTGTGATTGTCTTAGATTACGTATACTTTGACAAAAGAAAAAAGGAGAAGGCATCTGAAATTTGGTTTCTTTGTTAGATTCAACGTGAAGATACCAACTGGCGATGAAGCCAACGAATCTACGATGGAAATTGTAGGCAGTATAAAACTGTTGTGTAGCAATAATAACATAAATGTAACAAAGCTTAAAGGGACACTATACGTATAAACTGTTTTCCACGTACTTTTAAGTTCTTAATTCACAATAGTAAGAACGGTAATTATAAGGCGTGGAGACTCTTGGTAAGTGAGAGAACATGCGCAAATAAAATGTGGGTGGCGACGCTATCTTAAGGTTCTCGCACCAAACGCCATAAAATCACAAGTTCAGACGGCGCCTACTAGGTTATAAGCAGTTTCTGCACGGTAAAAATGAAGTACTTTGTCCTCTGAGGGGGCCATAGAGTTAAAATATTAAGCTAGAGAAAATTTAGTTGAGTCAATGTCACCTAAATAGGCAAAAATGACTTTGAAGTCCATGATGTCATGCGCGAAAATGTGTCCTTGATTTCTTCTTGTAAAATCATGCCTGTGATGATGAAAATAACATTCAACTTTCAATTATTATTGATGCATTTTTTCAATTTGGTGTCCCTTTAAAGTAAACCAAATGGCAACTTTGCCATTCGTAGAAACCTAAAGTATAGTGCCTAGAATATACTTCTAGGCACTATACTTGTTGAGGTACACACTTCAGATGACGCATGTTATGTTTTATCAACTGAGATATGACGCCTGTCACTCTAACGCACGCTTAACTGGGAATTTGTGTGCACGCAAATCGGGTTTCTTGTTCCAGTTCAGTTCCAGTTCTTGTTCAGTTCTTGAACTAAAAAAGAACTGGAACTGTTCAGTTTATAATAAATCACATTCCATTTTTCTCTACTCCTTCAACTTCTATGCCTCCTTCCCAAAGTCCATGCAATTTCTCACCTTTGCATCTAAACCCCTTCGTCATTGTAGCTCTAAAAGGCGTACGAAGGGGCCTTGACCGAATACGACCAGAAATAGCGAGCGCCCACGTGTAAGTTAACTTGTCGCAAGAGCATGCAGTTAATGGCTTAACAATTACGGTGCTGTTGCTCAAATGGAGTTTATCTAGCGCCTGTTCACAGTGTCACAACGGAGAGTTCAGAGTCTGCACATCAAAAGTGAGGCTGTCGAAATCGCGCGAACTGTAGACGTCAGGCAGCGCTTATCAAATACGACATCTTGTAAACTGCTTTCAGGCTGATTGCGCTGGTCTCTACATAAAAACGCTGCTTGACGCAGACTAACACGCACACACCTGTAAGACGCTCGAGCTTTGGGAGCAGGTGAGTAAAAGATGCGTTCAATTTCCACTACGTAGACGAGACACAGCGCTCCGTGGTTTCGCATGACTTGCATACAGAGATTAAGAAGTGAACCTTTTATGACAGGAGTATCATCTACGTCTCAGGATAAAACCTTAGCGAAACATTCAATTTCACTGAAGCTGCAGGACTAAACAGCAGCGCGCATGCATAATTATACACTCCAGGAAGAAATATTTCCAGGTGCAGCCCAACATGCGATACCTTATATACCTTATATACCCTATATACCTTATAAGTATTATATATTATACCTTATATACCTTATAAGTGTCACATGCGCTGTCGTATTCAAATGTCTATGCACTGCCTAGAGCAGTTTTTTTTTCTGCGGCAGTAATATCCGACTGCGAATACTTGCCGAGCCCATTCTTCATAGAATACGCATTTCATTAGCGCATTAAAAAACACTGTAGTAACATTTTCAAAATGACTGTAATCGATTTAAAGGAACAAAGCTCGAAGAAGTCACCACATGTGTAACAAAAGCTCGCAGTTCATTTGCAAACGTTTTCCAAGCATATAGGTGTCTCGTCCACAGTAACTGCACTTGTTTGCGGTGACATAATTATGATCTCCTGCTTTGCTCAATTTACGAGTTACCAGTTTGGTGTCGTTCACCCCTTAAATTCACTCAAATCCTGAGCCAACCTTGTAACCATTGTATGATGCCATGGAGTCACCCACCTTTCTCTTTCGCGACTTCTTTCACAAGTCACCCCAAGCCGATCTCAAAGTTCGCGCACATCGCCACTTAAGCCGTGCCGGTGTCCTTGGCCGTATAACCACGAAAAGACCGTATACCCCCTTCAAGCTCACACTGTATCCCATGCATCCTCATTCTTTAACCAGACATAAAAGAACTCGTATGACGTTCCTGCCAAGGTAGTGTTTGAATCTTACTTAGCCATCTTGGAACACTTCATAGATATATATGTCCACCCCTTACGTTAAAAACCTCCCGTTAGGGCATTTTAGGCGATATAAGTTTATAATATACCTATTTAAATAACTAATTAGTTTACAGTCAATTGTTCCGCATAATGTCCATTTAACCACGCGGAGTAACACTTATTTTCTTACGGATGACTTCATCTCACTTAATTTCTTCCCGTTCTGAATGACAGCGCAAGTATAACACGGACAGCAATTTTTTTTCTAAGCAGAACATTGTCTCCTCGGCCCTATTTTTCTTTCTGGGGCCCTTCTGATCATGTAATGACACGCAGACTGTCGTCTATAATCACAGTTCGCCTGCACGGAGTCATAAGCGCCAGCCATGCAGCCAAAAGTGGTCATGTCCGTTGCTGTGGCATTTGTCGTGGCTTTGGCGACCGTTTCCGCTGTCGGCGCTGACGAATTTGTGGTCTGTCCTCTTGTGGACGACAAGGGAGTGAACGCCACAGTGCTGCCTAACGTGTACAACTGCTCCACTTTCTACCTGTGCTCTCAGGTGAGGATGTTCAAGAGTGCACAATGCCTGAAGCATTAGCTAGCGAAAAGAAGAAACAAGAATGCCACAGAACTACAGGTGGCACAAAGCTACAAAAACGTTTCGGTTGAGTGGATCAGTTTTTTATGTGCCCGCCCACTTCTAGTCACCCACCATTTCTATCTCACGTTAAATTGTCGTATTCGCAACTCAAATGAACATGAGAGGGCGCCGCGGAGTTGCAGCATGGCGGATTCACAGAGGTCACTGCATCCGCTGTCGCTAACACAAATATTGAGTTTTCTACAGTGCATTGCAGCTCGCGCTACTTAGTAGAAGGGGAGCGGGTTGTTGACGCAGAGCATCTTATTTTAGTCGGCACCAGTGGTCACGCAAGCGCGAGCGGCGTTTTTGAAGTGGTCGCATGGTGTGTTGTAATGCACATGGCACTCTGCGTCTCTGCAAAATTCGTTTACATACTTCGGGCGCCACAGCGACATGTAGTAACTAGATACAATGGTCATTTAATAGGTTCGAGTTAACAAGTTAACAGTGGTGTCTCACATGGAAAGAATATATCTGCTTGGCTGTTTGTTTTTTCTTCATGGGCGACACCATCGTACCGTGCTCCTACCGTATACGACTGGTGCTTGGACTGTTTGGACCTCAGTACGCAGCTCCCTATATTGTCGCTAGGTGCCGCATGAATTGTTATAGTCGCAAATATGTTTCTGTCTAGCTAATGTAGTACAGTGGTTCCGTGCACGAAACTCGCAACAGGAAAATTATTTTGGTGGTTACGAAGCTTTCTTTCGTTACTACAAAGGGGAAAAGCTGTGAAACGTTTTCTTGGACGTTTTCATTCATGCCTTCTCAAAATATTCATAACGGAAAACAACAACACCAGTTCCGGTATGCTTGTCGGTCATTCTGCACTTTTCAACGAACATTTTTTTTTCTTTCAAAAATGAAGTTCGGCTTCGTGCTACAAGCAGGTGAATTGTTTTTTTTCTTTTTTGTTGATTTTTCTGACTTACGGCCTTGCAATAAATATAAGTTTAATTTATTTTAGGATGCACGCTAAAGCGCTTAGTGCAAAATCATGAAGACACAAGCCACGCACATATACACGAGACAAGCGCCAACTTCTAACCAAATTGTATTCTCAAACTTCACACTTATTTCTTAAGGAACAAAGATAAAAGCATCACATTGAAACCGAAGAAGACAAACCTCGTATTGCATTATAACATATTCGTTGTAACGGCTAATGAGGATGTTGGGGCATCATGCAATTCATTGTGGCACGAGATCTCCTTTCGCGTGTGGTAATGTTTTGAGCATTGTTGGTTAATAAATAGGCGTGAGTTCTGAGCCTAAAATTTAGTATAAAGTTGCGCTAGTCTCGTTTATATGTTCCTTGAATTTTTTTTTTACGTGCTCTAATATGCATTCTAACGAACTCGACCAGATTTGCGTTTCTATTTGCATTCACATTTGCATTCCTTTGAGGTATTTCATGTTTTATCACAAACCGATATCTAATGTACGAACATCCGCACAGATATGTTTTTGCTTGTCGCGTCTACAGATGCATATTTCCATGTGGTGGGCCCGAACTGAAAAGAAAAACGCCAAGTTTTTATCTTATTTGGCCTGGTTCTTCACAACCGGGAAATCATTCCTTGCTTATTATATTTTTACCATGCTGCCGTTGCCAGTTATCACACAGGAATATCGATGTTTTATTAATCCAACCGAGTACAAGCGAAAGTCTGAGCCGCCTACTTATGTAGACGTAGGTGTGGATGCTAGACTTCTGGCTCATCCCCACCCTGAGGGATTCACACTACCATGATGAAAATACATCAGCACACCTGTTTTCGGCAACGCCGTGTTATGAATATGCTTGCCTAATACGGTAAGAAAACATGATACTAATATATTCCCGCCATTTGAATGAAATGATGCTGAAGTGCAATGAAGCGATCTTTCAAAAGCGCAAACATAATAATAAAGCTGAATCAAAAGAATAATCCCATAGAGGCCTCGAGATCTCCTTATATGAACCTAGTAGATACAGTGATTGAGTTGTGTTTACCAAGAATTAACTAATACTTCCAAACTCAACATTTATTATTGAGAGATAGTTCCCTTCTGAAGTGGTTTCAGAACTGTGCCTTTGCACGCATGTAAAATTGCCATCACACAACTTCATCGATATTACCCACAAAGAGTGCTCTAATGTTACCGACAACTCACCATCACGCGTAATTAGATCCTAGTGGAAATGAAAAGACCGCTAATGGTAATTACAGGTTCAAACATGCTTTCCGCGCTTTGAGCAGAATTATACTTTCAAGCTGCGTTCAAATGTCACAAATATCCCGGAATGTGTGGAAGCAAAGCGGAAGATATTTTCCTGCTCTCTATAGTCGTTCTGTATACTGTGTGTGATTTGATCTTCTTATGCGCACAATAATCAGAGCTGAAAATTATAGAAGGCGTGTTATTATTCATTCTCAATCATGAATATGTTGATTAGGGCGAAAAAGAAGAGGACGCTTACAAGCGACGCTGCCTTCACGGCGACGAATGAGACATGTCGAGCAGCAGCGCATGCGCACATACACAACTCGCCATTCCACTCACCAGCCACTCTTTGCAGCAGTGGTGTTTACTTAGCGAGAATGTCGCTAAACTTAGCTTCTTTCCAGTCGTGCTAGCGTCAATTTCATTTCTTTGGAGCCTTAGCGACTTTTGGGTGGACTGTCACAATTTTCGGTAGAATGTTCTGAAGCAGACAAAGAAATTTCGGAAACTGTGAGAACAGTGAAATACTCGGAACAAGCTTGGAAAAACCTTTCTGAAAACAGTTCAGTATTTAAGCGACAAGATCACCTTAGACATGTTACTGAACTTTCATGTTTTGTGTGAGCACTTCGAATTGGCGTGATTACTTGTGTTTTTACAAACTCTGTGTAGTGTGGACACATTTATGAGTGGTGTGGACATTCGGTATTGAAAAACGAGGACTCATTGTGTAAGCGTTGTACTATGTACATATGTATAACCCTGTGTTTGCTACAAAACATGTGATGTCGACTTTTGTGCAAGAGAAGAGGAGTAGCCGGTGCCATGCTTTGGCACCAACTTCTCCTTATACAGATTTATTAAAGAAAAAGCTTCAATAAGTGAGGCCAAAGCATACAAAATTAAGCCGCTTGTGGCGCTATCATCTTTAGCGAGCAATGTGGCCGTTCCGAGCACTCCTAATGTGTCAATGAAAGATGGGCAAAGCGGCTCCGAACGGCTCAGTTGAACGGCTCACGGTTCACGCAAACGCGTGGACTGCAGCTGCTCACTCATTCAAAGTGGCGTATAGCCAGGAAGTAGCAGCACAGACCAACTCTGTTCCCCACGGCATAATTTTATTTAAAATATTCATTGCATAAAAATAATGTTTTCACGTGCCTTATCACGTCAAAAACTAGAGACTACAAAAAAATTATCATCATATCGTTTAGTGACTTTTGGCCAAGTTTGGCGACTTTTCGAAAACGTATGGGTGACACTAGCAAAAAAAAAAAGTTAAGACCACTGGTTTGCAGCCTACGCCACATGCATCAGTTCATAGTCGGCGCACGTCAAAGAGGTCAGTTTTGTCGTGAGGGAAAGCCAATAAAAGCGGTAGCAATAAATTGTGATGTTATCAGAAGTAGAACCAGCAGCTGACTACATTAAGATGCGACATGGCATAAATCTACTAAACGCGCTCATAAAAGATGTGAAGAGCATTTCATGCTGCCTGCCGCTTATACGCTAAGCTGTCGCAGCACATGCGTGTAGAAGGGTATCACTGGGGTATTCCGCCACTGTAGTAAACCCTAAATGCACAAGAGAGGTACGAGAACGAGAACATTGCCGTCACTTTTAGCAGATGTTATTTCAAGCATAAAACAGGGTAATGTATGCATATCACCCACACATGCGCAGAATAACCAGCACTGCTGCCTAGTTTAGCCAGCTCTCTAACGCACTAATATCGGAAAACTGCAACAGAATCGACGTGTCACTACCAACTAGTACATTCACCCCCTGCTTTAGTAATGTAAGAGCCTTCCAATAGCTTGCATGCTGTCTGATTCTTGCACTTACCCAGTATCCTAATATAATAGTAATAGTAATTAGTGAGGTTTTACGTTCCAACACCAACATATCATTATGAGGGATGCCTTATTTGAGCACTCCGAAAATTTCGAACACCGAGGCTTCTTTAACCTGCACTTGAATCAAAGCACGCTGGCCTAAAGCATTTGCGCCTCTATTGACATTTCGGCTGCCACGCCCGGGATTCCCTCCCCCCGGCCTGCGAGTCAGCAGCCGAGAGCCTTAGCGACTTGTTTTGCACAGTATCCTGACCTCATGGAAATGTAGTACGCATTTTCTGACCTTCAAATGCGCACGAAGATGCGAAAATTCATTTTATTTATTTATGTTTCTGTTATGTATATTTTGGGCTATACATTCATACAGCGGCCAATCTGCACACCGTAATACCTACTGCACGCTAGAGCTGTTTAGTACACAACTCCTGTCTGACATTTGGTGCAGGGCGTAACATGTTTAACAACGTAGCCTGCGGTTTGCTCGTCTACTGACTTGAGTTGAAACCAAAGCGCACAGCTCCTGCCCACATTTGGTTGTTCCTGAAACATTAAACGCCTGGAGCAATGTCATTGATTCATATAGGATAAATGACAGGGGCAGCGATGAAAAAACTTCAACTCAACTGTTATTCGCTGTCACTGTGAAATAATCATTAAGTTTATATCACGTCACTTTCCGGACTGTCATTTCGTGGTTACACACTGTTACTTGTAAGCTTTCCAATGCACAAAAGAAAAGAAAGAAGTGCGATTAAGTTTGATTGTCAATTTCCTTGAAGTTCCCGCTCTATTTCAAGAGCCTTCACTTCCTATCCCACGTTGCTAAAGTTTGTTCCTCCACACTGGTGTTCAGAAATAAACTTTTTTCTGTTCTAACTCCGCACTGTTGTTTTTCTCTTCCCTCCCTCCCCCCTTTTTTTTTTTTGCTCCGTCTTTTGTGCTGCTTTGGGTCTCATGCAGCACTAGAACATTGACCTAGCTTCCCTACTCGAACGAAACGGACACTGAAATGTTCTTTTATTATTTCGTCTGTTATAACTATTAAAACTATCTTTGGTTGGAAGTACAAATACATAGAAATCCTTTTGCCAAGCTCCCTTGTGAAATTCTTGTAAAAGGGAGGCAAGCGTTGTCGTGCTAGCGTCATCAAAAAAAAAAATATGGCAGATCTCACGTACCACGGGAATCAACGTTATGCGAAACATGCGGAGGGAATGTGACCATATTGTAATTTTTTTATTGAGTGACACGTTATCAAATGACGCTAAATATATGTACAAATGTTGCATGCACAGAAATATGTCGAACAGTTGCAGATGTTTATGTAACCAGTTGCTCGCACTTGCGTAACGTTGCTTTCAGAAACATGAATATTAGCCACACCAGAAGCGATAAGCTAATATGAAGCGTTGGTGCTCGCTAGGATAGTAACCATGGAAACTGCTACAAAAATCACCTGCAGCGGATGGCAGCTAACTACAATCGACGTTAACCTCACGGGACTGTTGTATCATGGGAGCACATATGTAATGTTTATAAAATTGGGTAGCCAGTACTGCAACCACAATCGACGTTTCACTAACATTCATTAGAGTCTATTTGAAAACTTGGCGTGGTTTTCTTGTAGAATACTTAATGGCTACGCAAAACAACGTGGTTCAAATCCTGCTGGAACTCTGACACTTACTTTTTGTAAATTTCGGGTGAACACTGCCGATGTCACAATTTTCCTTAACGCACTCGCGTTAAGACTGCCCATGTGCGCACTCACCAATCCTATAGGCAGATACCGAGTGTCAATCACCTGTGGCATATACCCGCATACCAGTCGCACATACTAGCCGACGCTTATGTGCCACTTTTTCACAGAAAGTGTTTGACGACGCACGTGACGGGATTGTGACCTTATTGACGTCGTGACCAGTGCATCATATTCGTGAAATCATCTTACCCTCCTATTTTAATTTAAATTCACGCCAGGCTAAGGAGGTGATCACGAAAGCACCCCGACGTAAGCAGATAGATAGATAGATAGAGATAGATAGATAGATAGATAGATAGATAGATAGATAGATAGATAGATAGATAGATAGATAGATAGATAGATAGATAGATAGATAGATAGATAGATAGATAGATAGATAGATAGATAGATAGATAGATAGATAGATAGATAGATAGATAGATAGATAGATAGATAGATAGATAGATAGATAGATAGATAGATAGATAGATAGATAGATAGATAGATAGATAGATAGATAGATAGATAGATAGATAGATAGATAGATAGATAGATAGATAGATAGATAGATAGATAGATAGATAGATAGATAGATAGATAGATAGATAGATAGATAGATAGATAGATAGATAGATAGATAGATAGATAGATAGATAGATACCAAAAGTGTTTGCAGTACGCAAAGAAATGTTTTACATTTATAAGTTCACACATTGACGCTGGACAAGCGCGACATTTCAGAAATAGTTTGCCAGACTTCACAATATTTACCCCTATATGTGTACCGCCACTGTTACAATTATTTCAGGGTGTCCCAGAGCTGATCGAGTGTCCTAGTGCCCTGCAATTCAACCGCAAGCTGAACGTGTGCGACTACCCGTGGCGCGCTGCCTGCGTAGAGCTCCCTCTACCGGAACCCGTGCTGCCGACTACCGAAGCTCCCTTGCCAACCGAGAGGATCGTCATCACGAAAACAGTCAAGGAGGTTTACAGGGCCGTCGACGAAAACGCATAAGAAATAAAAGATATCATTGCAGGACCCACAGTGGGAGTTGCACTATTTCTTGTTTTCACCTTTTTTTTTCTAGAAAACGTTCTTTATTGCACGAAACACAACGAATTAGGTGGCCCATAGCACAACAACCTTCAATTCAACCTTGGAAGCGTTCCACCGTTCGGCATGACATCGGTGCTCTGCGCACAAGCACTGACTATATCGTTAAATCATTAGACACGTCTACTAATTCGTCCTTCCAAAATAATCTGCCTGAATGCCTACCCAGAAGTACTCGCTGCCATTAACGCATTCCTTCTTAAGCACACTATATTTATTTCTACTAATTACTGACTGTCCGAAAACACTTGCGCCCTCAGAGGTCGCACTGTGTTGATTTCTAGGTTTTTCACTATTTTTGAATTTCATTCGTGATCGGCCTACGAACATTCCATTTTTGATGTATTTTCTTGCCTATGATGTGAAAAGCGTACCGATGAGAAAAGAGAACACAACCAGAGCGCCAAGCCAATATAGTTTCAAATAACTTTCTTCAACGTTCTAGGCGACGCGCTTACTGACGTGAACAACAGGTTTGTTGTTGACGGGATAAAACAAAGCTCCTGCTGTGAGATGCATATAGTCATGCTGCCAAAGAAAGCCATATCAATTCTGAAAATCAATGGTGGTAGAGATCGATTACGATCCTCAACAAGAACCATACCTGTAGCTACGATCCTTGGCTTAAGGCTAAAACTTTTCTTGTTTGATATCGTTTCCCCAGGCAAGCGGTGCAGTTCCATGTAGGTCAGTTTTTCACACACTTGACACGACCACAGATTTGTTCTTCAATGCCAATGACGCAAAAAAAAAATGCCACAGTTTCGCCGCGTGGTCAAAGCAATGGATGCGATAGCAAAAACTTGGAACGGCAAGTGGATAGAAACGTGCAGCGCGCTGCTCACACACAAATGACGCACGAAAACAACGTACACAGGATCAGAGCCAGCTAACAACGTTCACAGCTGGACACTTAAAGTGCGGTTTGAAGACATACAACGCAATAAATGTAATCACAGGTATAGATGAATGTGAACTAACAAGTGTCCCAGTTGGCACTTCGCTGTGCATGGAGTGCGCTCCTTTTCGTAAACGGGGCCTGTGTAGTGACCATTGTGCGCCCAGCAACCAAACCCAGCTCTTCCGGTGAAATCCGAAGGCGCACGGTTCTCTCACAGGACCACATAACTGCGCGGATAAGCCCTCTTCTCCACGGGGCAAAGTAAGCGTGGGAGATCGCGTGCGCATGGGCCCATCGCGACGAGCTTTCGAGCGCGCCCATTGCATCATCTCTCTAGTAATGCTGAAAACACGCTATCCCCCCCCCACCCCCCATATTAGCACCACCAGCTGTAAGTGGTCGACATAATAGCTTTCCATTTCTAGGTGAACGAGGTGCTCCCTCGTGGCGCAGAGGCTGACGCCACGCGTTCAGGAACGAAAGGTCAGACGTTCGATTCCGCACGCCAGAGTCTTAATCCGGATTATTTTTCTTTCTTGCATTTTCATATATATACATACGTATACATATACGTTGAATGACTGCTGTGACAAACGTCGATGTCGGGGGCAAAAACCAGCTGAGGGTGTCTATATAACTGTGATCGGAATAAATCGGGGGGGGGGGGGGGTATCAGGGTGATCAGTGAAAGTGCCTCAGGCAGATTGGCCGACATTTCGACAGGAAGACCTATATTTGCGAAAGGCGCCTTGTCATTCTTGGCATGTTATTTTGAAGGGGGTTAGTAGTGACGTCACCTCCTGGTGGTGGCATGTGTCCCTGTTGGTAATAGCTGTCTTCCACTATTCGCCCTGATTACCCCACTTCATGTTTCCATCTATCGGCTCCCATCTTGATTTTAGATTTCTATTGCAATAAAAAAAGTTATCGATGCCTTCGTTGATTTGCTTGATATGTGGGGTTTAACGTCCCAAAACCACCATATAATTATCAGAGACGCTGTAGTGGAGGGTTCCGGAAATTTTGACCGCCTGGGGTTCTTTAACGTGTACCCAAATCTGAGCACACGGGCCTACAACATTTCCGCCTCCATGGGAAATGCAGCCGTCGCAGCCGGGATTCGATCCCGCGACATGCGGGTCAGCAGCCGAGTACCTTAGCCACTAGACCACCACAGCGGGGCTACCGGTACCGTTGTATCAAGCTAATGCCTACGGCAGGGAACATGAGTACCTAAATTGCGTGCTGAAAACATTCGGCTTGCCAGAGCCGTACGTCAGCTGCACCGGGCTACTAAACAGCATCATGAGCAGCCGGCTCCTCATCAATAACATGGAGACTAGAGGCTCTAGAGTAGAAAGAGGTGTTTGCCAAGTATGTCTAATCACACCGGTGCTCTCCATTCTATACATACAAGCCCTAATTACGAAAGCCAGGAGAGGACGACCTCTCCTTTGTTGGCTGCTCGACTTCTATAGCCTTAAATCACGTCACTTCCCGCGAATCACGAACTCAATGGAGCGAGTGATGTCACGTTCATCAGTCGGCAGTCCCAAACGAATGGCGTCCCTTTCGACCAATGGAAGACCTAGGGCCGTGTGTGTTGCCGCGGGACTGTATCTTTGCTGCGTTGATCCACTGTTGTGCAAGCACGCACCTGGAGATGGCAATGCAAGCTTGCATGCATTACGGTGAGGTCATCGCCCCTGTATCGGTGCACGAGGAACATGAACCCCCTCGGCTACACCACGAAGACCTCGCTTAGAGGATGACTGACAGTGCCAGGCCTCTGCGGAAATATGGCCCTCAAGGCCTGATCATTCCCATTCGTTACAGTGCGTCAGGGCGTGAAATTTCGACGCGGCGCCTCGTTCTTTCGCGTGGAGAGAGTGGGCGAGCAGCTACATGCAGCCACGCGCCCTCTCTCTCTGTAGGGTGACAGCGCGGCGCCGCGTCAGAAAGCCCTGCACTGACGCGCTGTAAAGGGTGCGTGTGGCCACGCTTTTATGAGCTGAGAAGTCGAATACTGAAATGTTGCGCAGTTCAGCTCATAGCACAGCTTTTTGCGAGTCACTTTGCTTCGTTTGTTCAGGCCTTCCTCTGGGATGGCAGAACACCGAAAATTCAACAAAACTTTCCGAAGCTCTCAAAAAGTTGTCTAGTACTTTGTCTGCCAGATGTTCCAACATTCACAAAGGCACCTAAACAGTTTGCCAACTGTTCCAGGACAACGACATTCCATGCCGTAGCTTATTAATGCACTGGACAGGAAGTATTTGAGCCGCATTCACGTCTGAAAGGTGTTGGGGGCCACAAACAGAACTCCCGCATGCCTTTTATAAACCAGCAGCGAAGCTCAAGCGTTCGGTCGATGGCGATACCACCGAAGACTGCTTCGTAAAGCTTGCACCCACACGAATTCGAAAAATGCTGATCGCTTTCATTATCGACGAGGACGAACAGAGACTGAGGTCCTGAAAGTGTAAAAGGTGGCGGAATAACCGCACACCGAAGTCCGTAAGATAATTCGACTGACTGCGACGGTGGGAAGCATCACCCACTCGCCAGAGACTGTCACGGTGGACCGTAGTTCCGAATTATCTCTTTCCCAACTTGGGCAAAGGGGAAACGACCCGCCGTACGATGTTTAAACGCGTGATGGTCAAAGTCTCGTGTCGTAAATTCAGAGTCTCGTTTGTTCGGGCGGATAGCGAAAGAGGGGTTTATTGAAGAACTCGTATTTTCTGTCACGATGTTTGTACTGTAGCGCTGGCACTGTTTAGCCGAAGCACGGCGATGACCACAGCGTGCTGTACAATCAACGCTACAGAATATTAGAATGCTTATGATTCAGTATTTTACCAAACTAATAGAAACGTCTGCTGAAGAAGCCTTCCTCAGAAGGGGCATACATGATTTTTTGGGGTAATGAATGGCAATACTGAATTTCCGCTATGCCATTTTGAAAGTTACTGGCCGGGAATGAAAAATGAGTCGAGGATCACATGAACCAGCCTATCTAATGCGTGTTCTAGGTGCAAGAAAAAAAATGCTTTTCTTGACAAATGATATGTGATTATGCGCGAGCTTAATTATATGTGCTCTATTTTCTCTTTTATTACTTAGTGATCCGTGATCTGTGATAGCATCGCAGCACCCAAGTTACATCGTATCTATGGTTTCTTGTTTATACGTCCCGATGAAGTCATATTGTGGCCCGGTCCCGTTGTACTCACCTGAACTGCTGCAACAAGTATGCAATAGACTTCCCTGTGTTTCCACTAATACTGAAGACGGGCGGCGAACAGCGTTAAAATGTCTGTGCAGCTGTAACCAACCAACGAGAAAGACTTTAGTTGATCGACGTCATTAACCCAGGGTTTAACACCGGTCCTGCGCATTTCATACTCGCTTATTAAACTTGTACGGAGTGCTTGGACGGTGATTTCTAAAAAGCATTGATATTGAGAGCTAAATAATCGTGGATAGAAAAGCAGTAAACATAAACCACATTAAAAGTACACATTCAAAATGCAAACGTGGATGAATGAGTTCAAGTCAACCTGTTTGCTGATAAATCGCACAATGATTTTCCATTACACAATAACGAGGTTGTGACCGGGGACTGTGCTGCACATTCGCTGACCGTGCTCCTTTAGAGTCGAACCCTTCACTCACTGTAGCAATAAAAAACAACTTGCACCAACCACAGCTCCCCTCATAACAGTACGAGTAGCGCATTTTGTCGCATAAGCAGCTGTGATGCAACTTTTACACTGCATCTTGGCCTCCAGTGATTAGCGCCTTTTATCAGGAAGAGGTTCAAGGTCCGGGCAGTATACGGGCCACGTACTATCAGCCTAAGGGACTGCTTATCAAATTCGGGGTCTTGTCACCTAATTGCTCATGATGCACATAAGACCAGCGTCCGAAGCCGACTTACACACTAGCCCTCCGTGTGTCAGTGCGGCGAGGAGCAAGTAAGTGGATAAGACCAGTTTCAGTTTATTGTCAGCACCGTGAATTCGAGGTGTCATAAGCATTCATTTCAGCATAGAGCAGGGCTTCGCGATGATTCTGGTTGTCGTTGTATTTTTGTGCACACTCGATGCTAGAGTGCGCGAGTCATTATAATTTCTTCCCGCCAACATTTCGCCCCTACTGTTGCTCTGAGCGAAACTCGAACTCACGACACTGCGCTGAACTCCTGACAGCCACATATTCACCACTGCATACCTCGTTCAAGTGAGAATATTCTACGTGTCATTTTCGCTCTTCTATTGTATACCTACGTAATTATATATAGGGCTCCATGATTTCTGAGTTTATTTTTTGAGATAATCAGAGGGTTTATTTCGGATTTTAGTTTTTTTGTGTGAAAATTTGGCGCTTATCGTAGTTTACTTTCTGTAAATTCACAATTCTGCTAAATTGAGAGTTTGCATCATTCTAAAAACTTCATTATTTTAAATTAAATGATATCTGAACACTGGAATACATGACACCCATTTTAGTTGTTTGGAAGGTCTTAACGCAAAAACACACGTACACACAAGCACTCCTTGAAATCAAAATATGTTCCTCTGTTTGTATTTGCACCTTACTGTAATATGCTCATGTATGTTTTAAAATGTCCGCAATAAGACCAGCGTCGCCCCGCCGCGGTGGTCTAGTGGCTAAGGTACTCGGCTGCTGACCCGCACGTCGCGGGTTCGAATCCCGGCTGCGGCAGCTGCATTTCCGATGGAGGCGGAAATGTTGTAGGCCCGTGTGCTCAGATTTGGGTGCACGTTAAAAAACCCCAGGTGGTCGAAATTTCCGGAGCCCTCCACAACGGCGTCTCTCATAATCATATGGTGGTTTTGGCACGTTAAACCCCACATATCAAATCAATAAGACCAGCGTCTGACTCACCCCAGTGCCGCCAGAGGGCCGTATATCAAGATGTCATCTCGCGTGCCAGGGTTCTATATACACGTTAACGTCTTTCGCATCGCGCGCTTGAAAGCCCCTCTTTTTGTGTGCAATCAGTGCAGTACACGAGATACTTTTGACGTGAAGTTTGCATCAGCCAAACTGGTTGTTGTATTAAATACTTTTTTCGAATGTGCTATTTCGTTAAAAAAATGGAATAGTGTATATTTAAGTCTTTAGGTCGAAGTTTAGTGTTAAATCCGAATTGTCGAAAGATATACTGGCGAGTGTTTATTGAGTTTTTTTTTAATTCACTTAAAAACAGATAACCCTAACTTATGTTTCAGAAGTGAGTGTTGCAATGCATTCAAATTTTGTGAAGCATACCAGTTAATGATGCCCACTTGCCTTACCACGGCTGCCGGGGATGAATGCTACGATTAAGAACAGCTTATCTGTGAAAACAACCTACATTCCTTACCATATATTTCATTATGACGCAAATGAATTCGTGAAAGAACGCGCTTTCTGTATTATAACTTATTTCAAAATGTTTTTGTAAATTTGTTTTATTTTAATTTGTTGTTTTTGTGTATATATTTCAGGTATTTATTTACACCTGAAAATATAATATAGTAATAATATTCATAATTATAATGAAGGTATATAATTATACATGCGACGCTGTCTGACGCTCCCTCATTTAATTCACTTTATACCTAATAATGTAGATGGGGAGATAGTCGGCCTGGTAGCTCAGTTGGTAGAGCACCAGACGCGTTATTTGAAGGCAGCAGGTTTGGTCTTTGCCCACGGCAAGTCATCTTTTCATCCACATTTTTTCTTCACGTTTACAATCCTACTACGTCATATAGCGTCCCCTATACTTTCCTTGGCATGATTATCCGTTAGATCTCAATAATATTGTGGCTAATAAAAAAAAGCGAGCTCTTAATTGTGCACCTTCCTTTACTCAAGGATACATGGCCATGCAAGCCAAATTCATGGTTCCAGCATTCACCCTGCTTGCGGTGAGCGTATCAGCGGTCGCTGCTGACTTCGTGGCCTGTCCTTCGATGGACGACAAGGAAACAGATGCCACCCTGTTGCCAAACCCGTACAACTGTTCGACTTTCTACCTGTGTTCTCAGGTAAGCGAGGCAGAAAAATAATAAGAGTCTTTATTTAGAAGTCATCATATGTGAGGTGTCCTGAATCTTTGCGATCGCCTCAACTGATCCACGAGGCTGGAGCTGGCCAACGCTATCTCACAAAGCTCGTCAATGAGGCAAGTTTTCGGGGGAGGGGTGTTAATGGCAATTTTCGTGTGGCCTCCTGTCATGTCTGAGAAGTTCCCTATAGCACTTTCTTAAGTTTATCGCAGAACATTTTCTCGTTTAACACTGTTTGCGTCACCATTACCAACTATATACTCTATCGGTCAGGGCACTTATAGCGACGCAGTGGTCGTCGTAACAAAGTAAATATTATCTTGTACAGCGCAAAAAAAAACTTTAATTTTGCCTAGTACGTTAAAGAAGTGGGACCGATCTCCCGTTGATATATTAATAAAAAATATAGTCACGTGTTGATGCCTTAGTTAATATTGCACGTTATGCCTTAGTTAATATTGATGCCTTAGTTAATATTGCGTTGAGCTGCTTCAAATACAATGCTGTAATGGAGCCTATTCCTCCCTGAAATGTAATTTGGCATTTAGGGGGGGGGTGGAAGAAATAAATAAATAAATAAATAACATGGGGGGTAGAATTCAGGTTCTCCGTATTGTTAGCGCTGAGGAGAAGGGAGAAAGGAAAATAAGAGGAAAAGAACGGCAGGGAGGTTAACCAGTCCATAGGTAGCCGGTTTTGGTACCCTGTGCATGATGGGGAATGGGGGAGATGAAAGATAGAGAAGAGAGAGGGAAGAGAGATAAACACAGCACATTCGGCAGCACACGCGCGCACACTCAGTCATAGTCCAGTCTTGTGTTTCGCGGTGTGCGACATTGCTGTTACAGGCGCTTGTTCAAGTCCGTGTCGCGTAGGAATTTCAACAGAGCTTTTGCCGCCTTCTGTTTCAATGTCTTCTCTCGGGCACTTGAAATAAATAGCTGGGGAGAGAAATGTGTAGCGGCTCTGAGGTGACTTCGGGTCGCGTGTGGGAGCGTGTTGACCTGTGGGGCTTGGAGTAATCCCTCCTGTTCTTTTAGGCAGAAGAACTTGCGTGTGGGAGGCCATGTGCTGCGGATGAGCTCTTAATGTGTGTTGTTATAGGAAATTACTATAAAGGATGCCTGTGCTCGGTATGGGCTTCCTCAATGTCAGCTCGGTGGGTGTAATCTTGAGCCACGAGTTGCAAGAAATGCCATTGTGTGCGGACGCCCAGACGACCACGAATGATTTCGTTGAAGGTTTTTCGATTATTCTGAATATGTTCGTATAGATTCAGTCACTAGCGCAGCTGCGACAATACAGTGGAGAGCCAGTTATGATGACTTCCCCCCCCCCCCCGTTTTACAGAGGGCAAAGGGTATAGGAACAAGCGCACGCAAATCTTACTAAGCAACATAGAGTTTTGTAGATACGCTGGCCACTATTGTTTTCTAACGGCATCCAAAAATGTTTCGTATAAATGTAATAGATCCGTGACCGCCATTTCAACCCGCCCAGGTTGATGAGCTAGGAAAGTAGAGGCAGGCCCACGTGCTACATGGGATAAAGTCAAGTTTCATTAGAACTATGGCTAAGCGCATCGGCAGGGTGGTATGCAAAAGAGGCGTTGACCGCTCCACACAGTAAAAAATTTTACAGCCAAAAGGGTGTAAAAAGGGTGCTTTTACGAGAAAGCACCCTTTGCAACACCCTTTAACACCCATAAATGTTCGATTGAAAAAAAAGCACCCATTTGTTTGGGTGCTTGCCTCGATAGCACCCTAAAATAGGCTCTAAGGGTGCTTTTGTGCCTGAGAAGGGTGTAGGTGACGATTCATCAGATGGAATATGCAGCATAAGAGGAACACATAATTATAATATTTGGTATTTTACGTCTCAAAAACCTCGATATGATTATGAGGGTCGTCGTAGTGGAAAGCTCTAGAGATTTTGACCATTTGGTGTTCTTTAATGGGCGCTGATATCGCGCAGTGCACAGGCTTCTACCTTTTCGCCTCCATCTGAATTCGACTGCCACGGCCGGCATCGAACCCGCGACCTTCGGATTGGCGGCCGAGCAGCGTAGCTACTGCACGAGTATGTGGACCTTGCGTTAAATGACGGCCTAATTGACTTAGAATGTGTGAAGGTGCTGTCCGAATACAGCAGAATGCCAGCAGAAGCAAATCCCGTTTCATCTATAATGACAATTAACTGCAATCCACGTTACGAAAGCTCACCTTAGCGTTGGTTATAAGCTACATGTTTGCTGTGGATTATACACAGGAACATAATGTTCGCCCGAGTATGGGCGTGTGTGCGTGAGCCTGCGCATGTGTTCGCGTGTAAGTGCGATTGTGTGTATACCCGTGCATGTGTGCGTGCGCGTGTATGTGCGAGTCCGTGCTTGTGTTAAGCGTGCCTGTGCACATGTGTACGCCCATGCATGCGTGCGTTTACGGTCGCGTGTGTGTGTTGCCGTATGTGTGTATACGTGTATGTGTGTGCGCCTGTGAATAAGTATGCGTGTGCATCAGCCCGTGCGCCCTCAAATTTCGTGTGTGTGTGCGGGGGGGGGGGCACTGCTTCTTAGTGTTTAAGGTCCCACACCTGTTCAGACTGGGAGTCTATATGGGAGGTGGCTTAAGAAATGGCGGTGGTCAAGGCACTGTACACTAACTATTCAGTACATGGAAAACAGCTGCACATTTTCGTACCTCATCATTGCTTACGAACTTGCTGTGGTAACTGATTAGCTCCGTTGAGGCGCTTCTACGCTCGAAAACGTGGGTTATGACCAATTCACACGGAAAGCTGTCACTGCACTTATGCACAACCATCGTTTATATTAACAACGTTTAACAAGAACGTGCACTGCCTTTGCTACAGTTGCTTAGCTAGCTCATTGGGCAACCATATGGAATTATGTGCTGATCATGTGGTCAGCAAAAAGTTTGTTATAACAACCTCGGCACGTTTCGTGGTGCATGACAAGCCTTCTAAACATCCGCTACTGTGGATTAATTTGTTCCAGCTTCGACTACGCATTCAGTGTTTGCGGCACCATACGCGGAATCACCTGACACAGACAATGCAAAAAGAAATTTCTCTGGAAAAAGGTGTAGCGATGCTCTCCCGCTAATGCCACCGAGGACGAAATAATTATTGTTTCTGGCCATTCCATGGTGCACTTTGTTTTGCGCAAGTTTTGCTTCACTATTTTTCACCCACTGCAATCGCATTCCGTCAAAATACTCAAAGAACCCGAGGCTGGTAAATGACCTGCGTCGCTGTGCGACTGGCTGGAAGGAGAGTGGCCGTTTACAAGGAGTCATTCCGCGTTGAACGGCCGTCCGCCGTATGCGCCATAGCGTTTGCCTTTCGGCGCCGTCCTGGCGGGTTTCCCGCTCCTCCCCCCCCCCCCCCCCCCTGCTCAACCCGGCCAGCGTTGCTCCCACAACGGCAGCGTAGATAAGCGAAGAGTTGCGTCACCGAACACCTGCGTCGACAGCTGCGGCGCCGCCACGCCGCCGCCAGTGCCTCCTCCTTCTCTCTCTCAGTGTTGCCCTCTCTGTCTCATCAGTCTTTCAAATGCGTTGCGTTGGTCGGGGGTCTTGGTCGCTGTGTGTGTTCTAGCGAACAGGCGCATATTCAATGGTGGTCACGCATGACACCGTGTTCGAAGTGACGCTCGGATTAAGGAATATTCATGGAGTGGCGGACACGGACAACGTGGACCTGTTAACGGTGAGTGTACTGTTTTCGTAGGTAGTAATCATACAGCGCTAGCTGGGCGCCTGCAGCAGCTCTGCCGAAGTAGGCTGCCAGCCATTTACAACAGCATGCGTTCGCGGGCCTGTTGCAGATGCCCGATTAAACGTGGGACTTAACGAGTTCACACTGCTATGCGCGATGTTGTGTAAGTGCCTGCATCACTCATACAGTGAGTGATGTGATCACTTAACAAGGGCGGGCTTAGTTGCTGATCGCACATTGTCTCTACACTGCACAAAGGGATTGATATTGTTTTAAGATGTGCTTGGGCTACATCGTGATAACATTTCTATTAATACTCAAATGTGCAACGTGCTTCTGTAGGTGTAAGCGCAAAAAAAGAAAGAAAAAGCAAAAATTATGTACAAAGGCGCACTGTACGAAATGGCTTTTTTGTTTTTGCTTAAAGACGGTATAGTTGGAGGTGCTGATATGCCGCGATGCTCCCAGCACGTGCGCCTCGGTCTTTTAAGCTATTTAGGACAAGTGCCACCAGCAACAGGGAAATATCTAGCAGACTTCCAAAGGCGCGTTGTTGTGGCCATCGCCGTGCGTTGTTTTCCCTCGTTTCTGTTTGCTGTTTTCGTGCTTCGCTTTCATCTGCGATAATGTTCGGCGTTATAACAGAATCGAGAGAGTATACGTGACTGTTGGAGCTATGTGCGGTTTCTCTAGCATAAGTCATGGCTGCTGCAACGTAGTCGGCGTCCGCGAGCGTTGTTGTCGTTCGAGCGCTCTTACTTGCGTGATTGTGTTTAACTGAGTATTTAGGCACGGGTTACGTTTGTAAATCTCGTAGTCAATCGCTAATAGCGTGCCCCTGCTTGCCATCAGAGGATGGGCTTGGTTGTCGAAATATGCCAGACGCTTTTTCTGAAAGCAAGCTTTGAATTTTTTTTTAAAAGAAGTACTTTCATACGTGCGAGGCAGTGCCTATTGCAGGCCCGCAACTCTTTAAAAACTGGACGAGCTATCACATCTTTTATCAAATTACAATGAATTAAGATGATTGAATTATAGATGACGATTTTCTGTGCTAGATTAGGTGCACAAAACACATGTTCGCAGCCCTACGTCTAGAAAGCAGGCAAATAGGAAGCACAGCGTCAAATTTGGATTAGATTCCATTGACGGAGCGTCTTGTGAGAATAGAAAGAACGAGGAAATTGTTCATTTTTGATGCCCTTGTAGAGGCAGTCAGAATTGCACTGATTGGTGACTTG